CCTGTCTTTATTACACTAAATAGATTTAACCACGTTTAGGTTCATATTGAAAACAACTTGGTTTGAACTTAACTTGGTTATGCTGTGGTCCTTGCAAAATTTTACTCTGTTCATACTGCATGGAGTTGCCTGTCTTCATTAGCCCTTTTTTCTTGTGTTACAGAAATTTTTGAGTACAGCAATTTGATTGGATTGTAGGTTATTGAATACAGCCAATCAGAGGTATCAACAGAAAGTCTGTAAAAACTAAGCCATAATGTTTACAGTCTTTCTGTCAAGAGCTCTGATTAGCTGTATTCTCTAGTGTACACTGGCGTGCATTCTGTGATAAAAGAAAGGTGGCTATTGTAGTCAAGGTATAAGACAAAGTTGGTAATAGCTTGACATTGTGAAGATGGAAATTAATGTACAGCAAGGACATATTTAGACGAACATAAAATAATTTTATGGCTTTAATAGCCTTGAGGTATTAGATGTTCCGCTTCGTAAATAGTCTGAATTGTTTTGCTTATTTATCATTTATAAGAATAATGTCAGTCATAGTTTTTGGGAAGGCTATGGGTACAGTCAAGCAAAGAAACATATGCACATCAGAGTTGATTTTTGCTGGATTATCTGTATCCAATTAAAGCTTTGTCGACCGGAATTATGAGTAAATATGACTAAATCAAATCACGAGACTCACACGCTGTCTAAGAATAAAACCCACGACAACCAAAAACCTGAGAACTTCAGTTTCAACAATGTATTATTTCTTGCATATTATTATGATGAAAGAAAATTCAGGTAATTTGATTGACACCCAAATATACAGTATATCGAACCAGGAGCGTAAACTAAGGGAGGGGGAGAGAGGGGGGGGGGGGGGCCAAAATTTGTATCGCCCCCTGCAGAATTCTGAAATCAGTCTCTCGGCCACCCCCCTTGGCATATTGGGCTGGTTACGGGCCTGTATCGAACATGTATGACAGAGTTTGAAAATGGCTGAATTTGGTCTGGGGGACAGGAAAAGTCGATGAATTTGTTTGTGCCATTGACACAATAAAATTTCTGTCCACCAACATTTGTTGACTTTTTAACAGACGACATTTCACTCATGGCAGCCATGTTGAATTAGGGTGTGGCTTGTTGACATGGTTTCAATAAAAGCTGAATGACAACATGGAAAGATGTAAACATTTCGTGATTTTAGTAATCTGCAGAAATTTCATGAAAACAAAACATCCAGATAGTCTATGAGCATTCTGACTGACTGACCAACCATGATCTCACTCAATTTCTTCTGTGAATTGTGTTGGCCCAATTAAGTCATCATCAACAACAATTTAAACACTATTATCAGTGAGCTTGATATGGTTATCAGTTAATAGCCAGAATTCCTCATGAGTATTATAGAACAGTATATTTGATTGGTTGAATAACCTAGAACTCATGTTTCATGACAATTACCGCAGATCATGAATGGCATGTGTAGATAGCATCAAGAAATTTAACATGTAGATCCACATTTGTATCAAATGTTTTTTCATTTAGAATAATTGAAAAAGCAATGATGACTTGTTGTATTAGGTTCTCCATTTGAGCATGACTGGTAGACTAGATATTCTTCACACATGACTGGCAAATACCAATTAATTGATAACTATTCACTCTAATAAGCCGTAACTGGCAAATAAAACACAGCCATCTGGTTACATGCGAGTACAGGGATAGCAGAGAGATATAGGGATGGAAAGATTAGAGTTTAATTGTGAGCACCAGTCAGACATGACTGGCAAATATAATCATATCAACATCCCTGGCTAGAAACACAAATCTAGAGAAAATTAAAGAGTAAATGGTGGGTCGTTTTAATCAAGAACTGCGAGCACCAGTCAGACATGACTGGCAAATAAAATCATATCAACATCCCTGGCTAGAAACACAAATCTAGAATTATCTTAAAGGAGCACCTTCACTATCAGTTCGACCAATCACACCTTAGTTTCAGAAACAGGAATATTTTTAGCTTACATACGTAGTAATAGTGTTCACAGATAATTTTCGAAATTTGAGCCTTCACATCCATGTGTATCCATAATTATTCACGTTTGAAAGTTAAAAAAACATATTAAAGTTAGAAAACAGATAGATAGAAGTAGGCAGTGAAATTTCTAGTTAGAGGTATATTTGAAGGGATTATGTGATTTTTGTGTGTTTAGTACTTCTTAAGACTATTAAAGCACAATAAAGACCCAAATCAACCCTTGAAAATGCAGACTGTTTCCTTTCAAAGTTACAAGAAAACGTTATCTTGAAGATTGGTGAGATTTAAGGAAGGAAGGGGTGAGGTTTGTTTTTCAAAACATTACGCATTAGGAATGTCAGATATTTGGGTCAAAATCTGCCCAATTTGTATAGCAGGAAGTGAAACTTATGCTTTTGTGTCCGTATTGTGTGCTATTTTTTTCTTATATTACTAATATCTGCTTTGTACAAATTTTATGCCACTTAGAGAATGTTTTACTGTTATGATATATCAAATTTAAAACTCTTGAAAAAAAAATAGAAACTGGCCTGTAGCTTGTACAAGGTTTTAAAAGGGGCTGAAAGTTTAACTATTTGCGAACTCTGCTAATAACAATATGGTCATCTGTAATGTAGAAAAAGACAATGGGTTTTCTTCATTTTATATGTGTATCATGGACACTTATTGCATCAATTTGATTGATGTCATCACTTATTGCAAAATATACTTTATCACATAAGACCCTTTATGATTGGTGACATCATCAAACACTTAGTTGTGGTGGAATTGCAGGAACCACAGATGTCTGATTTCAAATTGATATGGTGCAAATTGATGCTATCAGTATCTCCGATTTTTAGAAAACCTCTTGACAATCTCTTTAAGTTAAAAAATAGTATTATATAAGAGTATGTTATTTTTTTCTAGAGGTTATTCTCTCCCTAGGGCTATGGTTCTGATCAGAAAGTTGAGTTGTGAAAGGACATTTTTTTAGTTTATTTAATGTGAATGAAGTTAAATTCTCTTGACAATATGATATTAATTGATTTATTAAATAATATATGAAGTCAGCTGATATTGTATATTGTGTAACATTGTGTAGATATTGTGATATTATTGGGTATTATTGTGATACTATTAGCTTGAGAATTGGATTCTGAATTAGGTCATTAAGTGCAAAAACTTCAAACTTTTTTTCAAATCTACCACCTGAAAGCTACATAATAGGTTAACTTGCACCTGGTAGAATATTTCTTAGGCCTTGACCCTCCCTGGCCCTCCCTGGCCCTCTTTGGCCCTCCCCTTAGCACTGGTTCTTAGACAGACTGACTTAATTAATGATGAAGACATGAAAGAATTACAATAGCCATCGTGGATCACACACTATGAATGAGTCAATATGTGACTAGACCAAAGAAATATGAAAGTGATTTTTTATGTGATCAATGTTCAATCTCAAGCTATAATTACTCAGGTAAATAACAGGTGATTCATGTTGGTGATATTTTATCTTTTTCATCAGCGCTATTGATTTGGCTGTATTTGCCAGTCATGATTTTACTTGAAAATGTATTTGTCATTCATGTCTCAATACTGTAGGTTTGACTGTATTAACCAGTCATGTCTGTCTAGAACTCCAGAATGTTAAATTGGTTGTATTAACCAGTCATGTCTGTCTAGAACTCCAGAATGTTAAATTGGTTGTATTTACCAGACATGTCTAACTAGAGCTCTATACTGTTAATTTGGTTGTATTTACCAGACATGTCTGTCTAGAACTCTATACTGTTAATTTGGTTGTATTTACCAGACATGTCTGTCTAGAGCTCTATACTGTTAATTTGATTGTATTTACCAGACATGTCTAACTAGAGCTCTATACTGTTAATTTGGTTGTATTTACCAGACATGTCTGACTAGAGCTCTATACTGTTAATTTGGTTGTATTTACCAGACATGTCTAACTAGAGCTCTATACTGTTAATTTGGTTGTATTTACCAGACATGTCTGTCTAGAACTCTATACTGTTAATTTGATTGTATATACCAGACATGTCTAACTAGAGCTCTATACTGTTAATTTGATTGTATATACCAGTCATGTCTAACTAGAGCTCTATACTGTTAATTTGGTTGTATTTACCAGACATGTCTAACTAGAGCTCTATACTGTTAATTTGGTTGTATTTACCAGACATGTCTAACTAGAGCTCTATACTGTTAATTTGGTTGTATTTACCAGTCATGTCTAACTAGAGCTCTATACTGTTAATTTGATTGTATTTACCAGACATGTCTGTCTAGAGCTCTATACTGTTAATTTGATTGTATATACCAGTCATGTCTGACTAGAGCTCAAATTGTTCATTCGGCTGCATTAACTTAACATTAACCTATCATACTAATAATATTAACTGTCCAATAGTATGAACAGAATGCTAACTTGTTTGAGAAAAGGGTCATAGTTATAAGTATTAAGTTAAACACTGGCTAGATGATTAATGATATAGGTATTTTATTCATAATATATTACTGTATTGCATTTCTATCAAGGTCATCTCAAGGTCACATGTGTGTCAAGCTGGGTTTGGTGATATTGATGTGACTGTGACTAGCCTTGTATTAATTTATCATACAGAATGGAGGTGTACCTTTAAATTGTCAAGGTCATTTATGGTGTGTGAAATTCTCACCGAATTTAAATTAGAAAAAATTGTTGACAATAATATCCTGGCAAACTTTTCCTCTTTGAACACTGCATGGCACTTTTACTACCTGAAGAATAGAATTTGATTTTTATAGATATTCTTTATATAATATCATTCATTGAAGAACGTCTTGAAGTTTGCTTACTATTTAAAATCTTTTCACATTTTGAAGTTGTTGACTTGTTCAGATACTGGAGGGTTTACAAGTTTCATAACAAGACAAGGGGCGTTATGTTGAAAGTGGAAGGCATTATCAACAAGGTACATGTCATTGGTGAGGGCATTTACAATATACAGTGCATTATTACCAAGATACAGGGCATTATTAAACTAGTGGTGGGCATTATTAACCTAGTTGAGAACAGTATCAATAAGATACAGGGCATTATTAACCTAGTTGAGGGCATTATCAACAAGATGCAGGGCATTATCAACCTTGTGGAAGGCATTATTAATGAAATACAGGGCATTATTAAACTAGTGGAGGGCATTATCAACAAGATACAGGGCATTATTAACCTAGTTGAGGGCAGTATCAACAAGATACAGGGCATTATTAACCTTGTGGAGGGCATTATTAATGAAGTACAGGGCATTATTAAACTAGTGGAGGGCATTATTAACAAGATACAGGTCAATATCAACAAGGTAGTGGGTATTATTAAAGAGATTCACACCAATTAAAATGGTGACACTGTAAAAGATTTACTGACATCCCAGGATCAGGTTTTAACCTTTCTTTGATAAAATTTGACTGTAAATAATTGGTGAATTATTTCATAGTTTACTCAGGGCTCTTCATTTACTTATATTTGTCAGCCTATATCTGATTGGTGGTCTAGCTGTATTTGCCAGTCATTTCTGACTACTGACTTGGGCTCTAGACTGTTGATTTGACTGTGTTTATCCACGCTCTTTGATATTATAACCATGAATATAGAATTATCCTTCCAAAAACAACAAGGAAGAAACAAATTTTCTAACATTATTGATTAAAATGTTTGTTGTTTTTTCTGTTACAAAATTGCACTTTTAACACCTGAGTCACCAAAAACAATGACATCTTCCTTCTTACTTTTCTTTTTGTAATTAATTCCACGTCACTAACAGTGATTTACACATCTGATTATGTATTCAAGTGCAAATGGACCTCATCCACGTCCAACAATATAGCCCAACTAACCCCAACAATTTCTCACTCACCCCAAGTGGCGCCTCTAGGAAACGTCAGGTGAGGGGGCCGAGCAGTGTCCATAAAATTTTCCAGGGGGGCCACAGGTCATTCTTCCACTATGTCAAATGATAAAAAATGGGTGGGGCCATGGCCTCCACCTAACCCCCGTAGCAATGCCATTGCCGCCCTTATCAATGCAACAATGTTACCTCACCCACCCCCAACAATGTTACCTCACCCACCCCCAACAATATGGCCTACTCACTGTAATTTATTCCATATCATAAATACTTTACATTTTTACCCTAGAAACAATTTATTTTACTTCTATAGAAATCAATATAAACCATTAATTTGTTGTCATTTTATCAAACACTTTCCATTAACATTCACATACCAATACATATTATATTATATTATATATTATAGCTCATAATGGACCAGTTTGAATCTCCATTTTAATTCTACTATACATGCATTCCAGGCTTTGAATTTGTTGTTTGTTAACATTTAACTACTTCTACATATTATATTGATACTCGTTATAGACCAGTTTGAAAATGAAAACATAATCTTGATTTCAATTCACCTATACCATGGTCTTATCCAGCATACAAACTGCTGTACAAGCTCTTCTAGCTTTTACTTATTCTATATTCCACCATTTCTATTTGCCAAATGTTTCAAATGATAACTTAGATAAATAACTTTGACCAATTTGTTTAATTATTATTTTAGTAAGCGTATCCTGAATATCTATACTCATTTTTGTCTCTTTTTTGTTATTGCAGAACCTCCTCCAATGCCTGCTCAAGAACCAGAAACCATAACGGAAGAGGAACGTGAAACGACCGTGATCGCTCCAGTTAATAATAATAACGAGGATGACGAACACCGACCACGATTATGTCACATTAGAAAATGGCATGATTTCCAAGGTTACGGATTTAACCTTCACGCCGAGAAAAATAAACCTGGCCAGTATATCGGGAAAGTTGACGACGATTCTCCAGCCGAATCAGCAGGGTTAAAAGAAAATGATCGAATTATCGAAGTTAATGGCGATAATGTCGAACAAGAACAACATCAAAATGTCATCGGCAAGATCAAATCTGGTGGAGAAGAAACAAAATTATTGGTTGTCGACCCAAAAACAGATGCGTATTATAAAGAAAAGGGAATTTCAATCACTAGTTCGTTGCCGCAAGTTTTATATCAAGTCACGCCCCATCGTGCACTTCCAGGTAATATAACATCTTGATATCCTTGTCTATGCTTTGATAATATGATCTTGCCTTCATTAATAATGCCTGGATAATATTTCCTTGATAACCTTGAGGGTCTTGATGATCTAGTCTTTGTTCATAGCTGGATAACCTTGCCTTGATAATTGAATGTTTTGATATTGCCTTGATATTAACCTAATTATCTAGATAATCTACAATTCTTAATTTTGATCAACTAGTCTTTTTAACCAACTAAGCCTGAACGATCTTTCTTTGATAGTCGTAATTATCCGGCTGTTTGCATTACTTAATCCTTTTTCTTTCAGAGAATTTTATAATTTTTCTTGATAACAATTTTGTGGGATTGTATGAATCGTGATGATACTTATTTTGCCATTATTGTTAAGTGGATGCTCCGATTGGAAATATATGTACAATTATAAGTGTTAATAACCAAATTTTTTTACTTTCCCATGATTTACTGTTAATATTTTCATATATTTACTCTGATGTCGATTTTGCCTGAAGTATTTGATGGACGTTCTTAACTTATAATTGATTGTCACTAAAAATATCAATTTTTCTGTGGTACACTTTACAGTGCAGGATCCAGACACATCAAAGAATTATATTTGATTTATTTCAGATAATTTTTCTTTCAGCATCGTTGCATATAAATTGACTGTCATACTGAGATTTTTTTTTTGGAAAATTTTGAATTTTTAAACTTTTAAACCCTTGAATTTTTTACCCATCCTCCCTTAGTTTATTGATGAAATAATGAAAAAGTGTTTTTCTCTATTCCCAATAAATCTACAGTAAAAGGTTTCTTTTTGATGGGATGGGAATAAAATTATCTCGAACTCAAAAAATATAAAATATTGAATGGTGTTAAGGTGAAATGAGAATTTAACTCATAGAAAGCACGGGCCTAGGTCTGAAGCAAGGATTATTCATTCACAAGTAATGTTTTGTTAGTTTTAACAATGATGAAAAAAATGTTTTTTGTGGTGCAGACTTGTCCTGTGGTATGAAACTAACCCCCCCCCCCCCTTATTAAAAGTAGACTAGAAAAAGTTTTTGTTTGCTTTATATTCATTGTATAATCACAGTAAAATAAGCCTATGTATATTTTATCAGATAAAATAAGTAAATTTGTTAAACTATCAAATATCGTAATATATTCAAAACTTGTAGGGTTAATATTTATACATGAGTAAAAAATACCTGGATAAAAATAACAAGATGACTGTATTTCTTAAAGAGATTCTGAATGGTTTTTCTCACCTTTGTATGTGGTATGTTGGTAACAATTATAGCTTCTATATGGACCATTTGGAATGCCCCTTCAGAGGCACTAAAATTGAAGCCATAAGTGTTCCCCAATACACATCCAATGGTTCAGTGTAAAAATGATTTAACCAAACACAGTGACCTACTCTGAAAATTGTTCAGATTATAATGTTGGTTTGAATTGGCTTTTGTAGTGTTAGATGGTGATGAGAACATAGTCTCATGAAAGCACTGGCCTAGGTCATAAAGTAAAGATTTATGAAGAAGCCAGCAATTTTAAGACTATTTAGGGTTAATTCTACCATGGACTAGGATATAACTGAAATCTTTATTTCTTCTGTAAGCTGTAACAAGTTAAGTTAGGTGTACAAGAATAATCTATTGCTTCCACTATCTGAATGTACCATATCAAATCAAACAATATTTTGGAGAGTCCACTTAGCTAATTGTATTTTCCTTTTCTTTAATCAGAAGCTGCTGAAGAAGATTTGTATTTATATCCAGATGGTAAAATATAAATTTAAAATTTTAGCTAAAAATAGTTAAGATCAAATTTATGCTTTATCAAATTTACTGTATCACTTTTCACTTTGAAATCTGACGTCTTGTACTCCAGCAATTTAATATTTGCCATGTTACTGTAGATTTCGTAACTTAATATCCTCCCATCACCCATTTTTAGAAAAATATTAAATCTCATAATTTATTACAAAATTCTTAGACCAATTCTTAAATGTAGTATTTTAAGTAAATTTTAATACTGCTTTTTCTTAATTAGAACTTTTTATGCGCATTTTTAATTAGATTTGTTTAATGAATAAATTGTTAATGTCAAGAGTAAATCATTGGTCACCTGATTAAATTAGCTTAATTACGTCTCATTAGACAAAATTTGACCCCAATTCACCTCAAGCTTTGACATTTGCAATTTTTTTTAAATTCTTTTTTTGCAAAAAGGACATAATTGTTGAATTTAACAAAAATTTTAAATACAAATGAGCCTAAAATAGATGACATAAAATAAATGATTAATATGTTAAATTTCTAGCTAAAATGGTATTTTAAGTGATGTTTGTGTTGTAACTTGAACTGGTTTGGGACAAAATGAGATATTTCTAGATATTCAGCACAAATCAATTGTAACATAGATGACATAAGAGTCAAATTGAAATGTTTATGGTTAAGATGTTCAAAATTTAGAGCCATTAAAAGATAACTTTAACATAAATGTTTCGGTACAAATGAAATATTTTAGAAGGTTAAATACACAAATAGATGACACAGAGTTAAATTGAAATATTTAAACTCAAAATGTTTAAAATAAAGAGCTAATTAAAGCTATTGTGACACATTTTTGAAAATTATTTAAAACAAAAGAAAATTGTAGGTTTAGTACAAAATAAAATAAAACGTATGATCTAAGCATCCTAATTGAAATAATTTAACTTGAAATGTTACAAAAATCAAAAGCTATTGTTCAGTTAAAACCTAAAAAAACTTATTGTGAAAGTGCAAATGACAGTCATCAGCCAAAAACTTGCTGACATAAAGTATATAGTCAGAGTATTTAATAGTCAGTTAAATGTGACATACACAATAGAATTTAAATTTCTATTTCATTTACAAATTAGCCCTCAATTACCTTACATTTTTAAAATGAAAAATTTTCCTTTTATTTTTTTTAATAGTAACACAATGCATCATTTGAAGATATTTGATTGATTAGGCAAGAAATTTAAACATTGTGAAACCTCTGTTACAAAATATTTTGAAATTTAATACTTATATGATGATATTTCAGAGAAATTTTATTTTATTATATGCCCACGTCCGTCCGTTGGTCCGTCCACAATTGCTCGTAATGGCACTTAAGAATGCACAATTCTTGACTGATTTTGATTTTATAGGATAATATTTCAAAGAAATTTTATATTTTTATTCTGCTATATGTAAATGATTAATTCTTGGGTTAAGAAATTAAAATTAGACCAAACTTTCGTTTCGTTTTTTATTTTTGATATAGCCACTACAGTTAGGTTCTAACGACAGCCCCTGTTAACCTTTTGACCTAACCTGATAGACATTGCATTGCAAAATGCCAGTGCTGGAGAGGGTAGAAATTCATTGGTCATCGAGTTAGGTCAAAGGGTTAATTTGACAAACGTTCAAGTGGGCTGTCGTTAGACCCTAACTGAAATGGCTATATTAAAAATAAAAGCAAATAAAAAAGGAAATGAAGTTTGGTTATGTGATTGCACACAATTTCCCTTTAATTAGCTGTTTGTATTAAAATAGCTTTCTATTCATCACTTTGTCACAAAAATCTCGATTCCTCATTCATCATAATACACAAGGACAAGTAGGGGACAAACAAAAACTTGGTTCAAATTGTTACAATTCTTAATGAATATACAGCAAATTATTTCTGAGCTGAAGAAAGTTGTTAATTAATTTGTAATTAAGATGTAGGTTAATTGTAGTCATTATTTTTAATTAATCAGACTGGTTTAATGAATATATGAATAATAGTTAATAGTCAATGTTTTGTTGAAGTTACATAGCGGCAGCCCCATCGCCAGGAATGAATTGGTACTGGGGCTCAGTTTAAGAATAAAAGACCCAGAGAACTCATTTCTAACAATTTTGAGGTGCCAAAAACATATCAAAATCTATATCTTTTTGATTTTGTACAAAGACACTGTAAATGAATCAATCTCTGTTGTACTGAATAACATTTTGCTGCTGGGGCTTAATTCTCACTTGCTGGAGCCCTGCCCCCACGAACCCCACCCTAACAACGAGGCTGCATAGTAGGTAAAACATAACAAGAGATTTTAGACTTAAAATATTGTTCAAAGCAGTAAACCCAGAGAGCTGTTCAAATCTTAAAATTTAAAAAATGTTAAATACAGCATCTTCACAATGTCAAGCTATTATATTACAGACTTCTTCTTAACTGTTTATTAAAGTGATACTACGTCTTAGAATGAACATAAAATTTAACTTCTCGAAAAGGTCAATATGAGTATATATTCATCTGTGAACTTACCTGGTGTCATAAAGTTACAACAGAATCCCTGTAAAATTGGAAAATTCATAAAACTAAGTAATTATTGAAAAACACGTAATCTTGATATTAAGTGTTTTTCAATAGTTTATTGCATTTTTATGGATAATTACTAAGTTTTTTTGATTTATCGGATTATATAAGGATCCTGTTATGTTATTTATGACACCAGGTATATCTACTGGCTCTTATTCGCCAAGTTTAAAATTCTTAGATTTTATGTTAATTCTAAGACGTAGTATCACTTTAAAATGAACTATCAGATCATAGAGGGGAATAATGAAAATGTTAAGATTTTAGTTAAATTATTAGTTGCCTTTTTTTACAGATTTTATTCTTAATCAATTTCAAAGTAATTTTGTTATAGTTTTATTTTAAGATTCAAGCCTGCTTAATAATTATGCCAATTTTTTTCATATCCTTTAACAATGTCACTATGTTTCCTGACCTTGACTGTGACCTTGGCTTTAACTAGTGCTGGCAAGATATATCAGTGAATCGACGTATCGCGATAAGACATGCCACAATACACACTAGGTTGTGTATCAATTTTTTCGTGGTTAGCTTTATTTGGC